ATCACAGAACTCAAATCCTGCCCGGGCCTGGGCCTGGGCATGGGCATGGGCCGGGGAGCGACTCGGGGCGCGGGGGAGGGTCAGCCCCCGGCCCCTGGGCCTGGCCGCGGGCTGCCTCAAAAAGCACCAGGTTATGGGCCCTTCCTGCTGTAGGAAGAAGGAACAAGACAGATTGTCTCAGGCTGAAAAAGCTCGTGTCTGGTCTGGATGTTGCCCTGCTCCTGGCAGAGGAGAGCCGGGGCCAAGTTGCAGCCCTGGCCGGGCTGGAAGAGGCTGGCTTCCCAGCCAAACCCTGGCACCATGTGCTGTGCCCAAGCTCAGGATGCTGTGTATGACGAGAGAGCAGGATTCACTCCTCCTGCCGCACAGGATGCGGTGCTGCGTGGCTGGCTGGCTGGCTGTTTGTGAAAGACATGCACCGGTTTCTGGCAAAGGGTATGCCTGTCCGCATGCTACAGGCATATGCCTGATCTCCATTGGGTATCTGCTGCATTCACACGGGGTGCTCCCCACCAGCAGTGGCAAAATTATATTACCCACTGGTAGCATATTCACTTTACCCCTCAGTTCGACCACGAGCAGAGACATGTGAGCTACCTTTGCAGTGAATCATCTCCAGCCTGGCGAGAATTGGGAACAGAAAGCCTTTGAACTTGGATAACCATAGTGAGCTCTGTGCTCTTCATAGCGCAAGTACTCCCCAAACCTCATGTGTGAGGGAGTGCCCTGAGAAGAAAGGCTGTGGAGCTGAAACTGAGCTGGAGCTGACTCCACATAGCAGCGTGCATGTGCATCATGTTCCCCTCCTTCTTTAGTTCCACTGTTCTCAAGGCTTCCCCCTGCCCTTCATTGACCTAAGTATCCCAGTTTGCCGTTATTCTGACTAACAAAGGGAGGATTGTATGTAACAGGAATAGCTTGAAGCCCATGAGATGTGCAGTTGGTGAACAGTTGAATGTAGCTCCCATCTGGGCCATGGTGTGTTTTCAGCAGTGGGTTTGTGCTGGGGGGTGATCAGTTCACAGCAAGCCAGCACCACCTCACAGTGGTGGCACCAGCCTCACAGACCACATGTGGCCCTGCCTCTGCCCAGCCCCTTGCTGATGGCACACAGGGGACTTGGGAAATTGTTGTCATCCCTTCTCTATAAACCATAGTTGGATCCCAACCCTCCTCCCCAGGTCCCCCAGAATTAAGTATGTACCTGAGGGATCTTGGCTGTATGGAGATTTTTGGCATGCAAGGCTAACTATCACACAACAGTAAGTGCACTGGGGAGTTTTCTGTTTAACACATTGTAAAACTTTTTGTTCTGTTTTTTTTAGTGTTTTTATACTAGCAAATTTTAAAGGATAGAAATCATAGGATATGTGTTTACCTTGGATATCTGAGTTTTTGACACCATATCACAGTGCAAGTTTTTCCTTTCCTTAAGGGAAGGATCTCTGGTTTTGATGGGCCTGTCCTTAGATACTATAAAATCAGCAGCTATATAAAATCTTGCGATGTATAATTTGTGAGCACTAAAAGGAATAGCAGTTTGTAGCAAGAAACTATCAGCAATTATTACATGTAGACACCTGGAGGACCACAACAACAATTCTGCCTTGGAGTTTATGCCCCACCCATAGATGAAATGGACACCCCAATAGGTTCTTCCGTGCCAAGATAAGCAGTCCTGGCATGTCCTCAAGGCTGCCATAATGTGATACGGCAATACCCTGGAGTAAACCTAATGCCTTTGTAAGAACCAACTTCTAGCAGAGTAGAAAGTGTTACAGATTAATCTTATCGATTCATGATTTCAGTTAGAGAACTTCACAATGTTTTATTGTCGTAAAGAGTGCATATTTGTAAGTGTATGTTTGAAGTATGATCAGCTGGTTATTGTCTCCTCCTTGTCTCCTTTGCTTGCTGTGCTTTTTCTCTTAAACCTGTACATATGGATTGTGATGGAAAATTAGATGTTTTTGTTTTGTGGCTTTCCTAGTAAATATATTCCATACATCATCTGGTAGTACCAAATCTTCTTCTACCACCCAAAAGAACTTTTAGTACTGTAAATGTGGAGAATAACATTCATGTCTTAAAGTAACTGAGGTCACCACTGACAGTGTTCAAACTAACAACACATAGGAGCATCTCTAGAGTTCTGCAGTAAATATTATGGAGTGCTTGCAGGCCCAGATGTGGAGGTCAGGTTTTAACAGCAGGAAGAGAGAATTTAGTAGACTGTAAGTAATTTAATGTCTGCCCTATTACCCATGCAGACAGTCTGAGGAAGGAAGAGTGATTTGTACTGGAGGAAAATCAGAATGCAAACGGGAGATATTAAGGTTTGAGTCAAAAAGGTGGTTCTTAATGAGCCTACTGTTTTCTTCTGCTTGGTTAACAAAAGTAGATCCTCTGACAGTTTAGAAAATGTCAGTTTACGGTCTCAATTAAATTGATTTAAGGGTTAATTTCTAAATAGAATTTAATTTGTGATTGAAACAATGGCTTTCTGTTGTGTCTCTTTTTTTGGTACAGACAACAAAAGGATTTGTAAACTTGTGAAAACTGTTAAAACACATCTGGTTGCAAACAAGGATAATCTGAACTTTAAAAGTTTAACATGACTGAAGCTCAGTGGTCAAAACCCATAGGAACCTAGGGGAAGAGGGTTTTCTCTAGAAGAGTAGCACAGGACTGAGGCAGGTCAACCTGAGAGATTTTGACATCTCTATTTTTGAAAGTTTTCATAACAGGTCTAACTGAACAGTACCACGGCTGACCTGACTTTCTTGTGGGTAGGCCTGCTTCAAGTGGGAAATTGGCTTGGATAAGCTCCAGACATTCTAGTTAACCAACGTTACTATGATTTTAAGGTTCCCAGCCTTCCTATGGCGTATGAAGATACTAATGGTAGCTAAAAAGTTCTGGAAAACATCATATGACATGCTTCCAGCTGGTGTCCTTTCTAATTCTTTATTTATTTCAGTTATCCATTATGTTCTCTGTTAACTGGTGGATGTTGCATATTTCTTTATAAATATATTTTTTTCTTGTCTGTGTAAATTACATTTTAATGGAATTTGATGTTTCTATTAGAATGGACAATATAATTTGATTAATTAAACTACAGAAGAATTGGGGAAGGAAATTTGTCAAAACAGGTTTTGCATTGGAAACGTTAATTGAATGCATGCAGTTTCATGAGACATGTCCTTCAAGATTTTAGAACTAGTAAGTATGTTTTTAGGAAATCTCTGCTAGCCTAAGTACAAAACCAAGCAAAATAAGTTATACTGTTTTTTCAGCACCAATTGTTTTTCCTGCTTTGAACGACATAGTTGTTGATCTGCTTTTAGGGAGTCATAGACCCATAGAACAGCCCAGGTTGGAAGGGCCCCCCAAAGATCATCTGGACCAACCTTTTCTGGGAAAGGGAGCCTCCATGTATCTATCACCATGTCCGGCTGTGTCTTGAAAACCTCCAGGAATTGGGACTCTACCACGTCCCTGGGGAGGTTGTTCCAGTGGTTGATTGTTCTCACTGTAAAAAATTTCTTATGTCCAGATAAAACTTCTCCCAGTGCAACTTGTACCCATTGCCCCTTATCCTCTCCATCTGGCTCCTTGTGAAGAGAGAACCTCCATCCTCTTTGTAGCTGCCCTTTAAGTATCAGAAAGCTGTGATAAGATCCCCCCCCCCCCGCCTCTTCTTCAGGTAGAAGAGACCTAACTCCTTCAGTCTTTCCTTATAGGGCAGGTTCTCCAGCCCTTTGATCTTTTTTGTGGCCCTCCTTTGGACTTCTCCAGTCTGTCCACATCTTTTTTGAATCATGGGGACCAGAACAGGTCACAGTACTCCAGGTGCAGCCTGACAAGCACTGAGCAGAGTGGAATGATCACATCTGTCTCTGTTAGTAATGCCCCTGCAGATGCAGCTCAGGATCTGATTTGCCTTCGTTGCTGCAGTGGGACGCTGCAGTCTTACGTTCAGTTTGTTCTCCACCAGGTGTCTTTTGGCGAGGCTGTTCCCCAAACACATAGATCCTAGCCTGTGCTGGGCTCTTCGGCTGTGTCCTCCCAAGTGCAGGACCTTCCACTTGTTTCTGGTAAATGTCATACAGAATTTGATTTGTCTGTCTCTGAATGATTTTATCAACATGTAGACAATCTTCATTTTAAAAATCCCAAGGTGTTTATGATAAATGTGGCTTTTTTGTTTTGAATGAAAGTTTAGGAAGTAAAAATTCAGGGATTCCACTAGATAGGGCAGAACATGTTCTTAAGATGTATTTAGTTTTGTGGCATTAAAGCTGTTCTCAATAAAAAAAGTTTGTGATTCCTGTAGTTTTGTACTAAGCTTAATATCTGAATTTAATGTAAAAGTTTGGTGAGATGAAGTTTTAATATTAGGACTTATGTTTCTACAGTTTGAGGTCTTCTGCATGTATGAAATCAGAGTAAAGAACAATGATCATCACTCAAATAAAATGTTTGGTTTTTCTTCATGGCAATGAGTTGCTACTTCTGTAAGATCGGATGGGTCTGAGGGAAAAAAAAAAAAAAAAAAACACAGATGGCTGGGTATCCTGTATGTGTAGAGGGGTAACTCTTACTGATATGCATAAAAAATAAGCTGATCTGTGTTTAAGAAGAAATTTCAGCTGTTGATCATTGCTGTGTATGCAAGATTTAGTCTGCTTCTTGCAAATAGTAAAATGGAAGGAACTGTGTCAGATGCCAGCTGTTACTATGTAAAGTTTGATTGTGACTCCTGATTAAACACAAAAGTAAACAAAGAGCCGTCCTTGAACATTTGGACGAGGGGTCATGTTTAGCATTGTGCCATTTCTCATTGTTTCTGTTGCTGTTCCACTAATGTCAGTCTTTTCCATTTTGAGAATTCTTGCTAACTGCTACCCAGATTAAAACCTTGCTGAAATAGTGAGTGTGCTGATCAACTTTCTATGCTAAGGTGAGGAACTGGGACATAGCAGTATATTGGCATACTCTTTGTTATTTTAATTTTTCTGCATGCATAATGGCAAGATTCTTAGATACTGTATTCCGGAGAAAGATGTGAAACTGCTATAGGATACTCTTTGAGCATAAATTTGACATGATACTAAAAAAAGAAGAAATTCTAAATGTTTTCATCTTCTCATTTCCTAGATGGTATTCCAATTCTTTATTTTTTTAAGAAGCAACGTAAAAAAATCATGTCATGTCTCTATTAAATCGTACCTCAGGTTTCTGCCTTCTTTGTTTTTATCTATCTTCCAGCTGTTTATGGTTTTTTTACAAGCTCATTTTATTGCCATCTATTGTGTCAGAGTTGTTTGAGAGTTGTTGTTATTTGTTTGAGAATGAATGCAACCTTTTTTCTTCCTCCTTGGCAGCTGGGCACAGATGCTGCATCTAGTCCCTTAATACCTTGTGTCACTTGGAATGAAATGGACTTTTGGTGGAGCATCAATGAAAAGTCAGTATATTGCGTTTGTGCCTTGATTCCATTCTTACATATAGGACCTGGAAGCTTTCTTACATGCTGCAACTTAATTTGATGTATAGGACCTTTGTGGGTCCTCTTGCAGGATGCCTGATGTAGAAACTTATACAGGTGGTTATATGAGGTGAAATCATTGTCTTCAGAAGAAATCTCTTGTTGTCTATTTAATAGACTAACTTTCCTCACATTGCTTCGCCTGTCAGTCTAGCCTGTAGTCTATTCCTTTGGGAAAAAGGGCTACCCAGATCTGATCAAGTAGGTTGGTTTGGCAGGCTGCAAGGGCTTTCTGCGCATGGGCTGTAGGCTGAGGGGTTTATGGTCTTGGATTTCAGCAAAGGCTCCTTCTGGCCACACCAAATGAGCCCATGTAAAGGAGAGGAGCCGCTCAGAGGGTGCCTTCTCCTACTGCCGTAACAGTAGGAAGAAAGATGTCCAGGAGGAAGTTGTTATTGCTATAGCAATTCTGACTGTGCACTTCTGCATGGTGCCTCTCTCAATGGTTCCTGAAACTGGGGAAGGAGCAGGCTCTGGGAATAGTCAGATAGATACACATAAGCACCAATTCATGAAAGTGTCTGGATTTTTTCCATGAGTATAGGTTGAGTTGACCTGGACTTGCATGATGACCTGTTCTTTCAAGGGGTCATAAAGCTTTTAAGATTCTGCTAACAGCTCTTTCAACAAAATAGTTCACAACAAATAAAATCTTTTAAAAATACAGTTTTTCAGAAATCGGTTTCTTTATCTTCTTCCCAACATACTTTATTTGGTCACTTTAATTGAAAAATCTTTCTTTGCTTTAAGGCCCAAGTGTATAGAATCTGATCACTGGTTCTTTCTGCACTTAAGGTAATTAAGGTTCTTTCTGTCACTCAGGTAATTTAACAACTGTGTTAAAATTTTACGTGTGACAGTTATCCAAGCTGGATAAGCCTTTTTCTCACTGGTTATCCAAATGAAGTTTTTGATTGACAAGATCTGTCAGCAGATTGTCAGATCTTGGTATCATGCTTCTGCATGTTAGGGAGGAAAAAAAAACACTAAATGGTGATTTAAAAAAAAAAAAAATCCAAAACAAAAACAATAATGAGAAAACAGAGACGTGTCCTGGGTACAGGGTGTTTATCATGAACTGTTGCAAACACCTGTTTTGTCCTCGTAGCTGCGTGACCTGAAATCATGGGAAAACAGGCACTGCATGTGCACAAAACAGATCAGTTTTGTAGAGCACACAGATTTTTGGTTAACCTTATAAGTATTGCTTTCTTTGGACAGTTAAATTTTGGCTGTTATTTCAGTGACCACATACCATGAAGGTATTTTGCTGTTGTGTTACTTTAGGTTCTTTTATGTATATTGCCTTATTCTATCAGAACCATGTATGCTTGAATAGAGATGTTGGCATTTTTAGACACCTAGATGGTGCTCAATCCACTGATTAGGATGGGAACTGTGAAGAGGACTGAGATGACTATGCATTGTAGTAAAACATGGAAATGCATGCTCTTTGGGGGAAAATCTAGAGGCGTAAGAACATGATTTTGCATTGTCAGACTTTGAGTCTGACAGTATTCAAGTATTTCTATTTGACTTCAGTATTCTATATATAAAATATTTTGGAAAGACAACTAAAGCATTCTGTTACAAAAATGTCAAAACAACCATTTGATACCATCAGAACATATTTCTATGGAAGGAAATTTTAAACCAAATGGAAACAATTTTGCCAAATATTTTGATGATTTTTTTTTTTATAGTAACATTTCCCAACTGAAAATCATCCCATCAAAGTTCTGTTGATCATATTCATTAGGAGTTGCTTTCTTGGATTTAAAGGTGCAACAGTAATTGTCATTTTCCAAATACTTTCACTTTATCCTTGTAAGATTATGCTCTTCCTAGACAATAAATACCCATTGGTTT